GAGGGGAGCCGCGTGCTGACGGGGAGGCGGCGCCGGCAGCGGTTGGGCCGGGCCCCACGCCAGCCCCTTTCTGAAGGGCGGGTGCATAGCGTGAGGAGGAGGGGTGCGGGTCTCGTTTTAGGTGGAAACGGACTGGGCAGCGTCAGCGGAAGCACCAGAAAACAGGCCACCAGAGGAAACCACGTCCTCGCAGACCGGCCATATTGTCACATCGCAGATTCTGGCCTACGGCCTTGCACCAGCCACGTTCCTCCTGCTCGGGAAGCAGCGCCAGGCTGTCTGGAGCACCCCACACGCTCAGCTAGCAGCGCACAATGCCTCTCTTCGGGAACACCTTCAGCCCCAAGAAGACCCCCCCCCGGAAATGTGCCTCTCTCTCCAACCTGCACTTGGTAAGTCCTGGCGCCTGTGGCTTGCCAGCGGTGGCAAGGGCTGAGTGGCTGCAGTTGTGAGCACCATAATCCTTACAAGAGTTCCCAACCATGCCTCTTTACTCTTGTGGTGCGGCACCGTTTCTGATCACTGGTGACCAGATACAAAGGTAGAAAGGAAGTAGCTCAGGGTAGAATAATCATCACCCCACCCACAGTCCAGAACTGTCACCTAAAACTCCTCACCAATGGTCTCTAAGCCCAGGGAGATGAGTTGTATGTTTTGGCGGGAGAAGGTACAGTCACGGTAGCGAGAGGAGCCGGTCCTCTATTGCAGCAGTACGTGACCAAAGTAGGATTTCAGGCTCCAGAGACAGTCAGTAGGAAATAGGAGAGCAGGGGGTGGCTTTGGACATCTGTAAAACATTGTCATCTCCTACCTGCAGTTGGATAGATCGACCCGTGAGATTGAGCTTGGCCTGGAGTATGGCATCCCTACTATGAACCTCGCTGGCCAGAGCCTGAAGTTTGAAAATGGCCAGTGGGTGGCAGGTAGAGTGCAGCTCAGCTTGTTTGGATCTGAAGTAGCCACGGTTGCCTGACAATCCATATCTTGACCTCTTTCTTTCCTTCCAGAATCAGGAAGCTTCACAGGGGATCGCAGGGAAATGCAGCGCTTGCGCAAACGAAACCAGCAGCTAGAGGAAGAAAACAACCTCCTTCGGCTGAAAGTGGATATTTTGCTGGACATGGTGAGTCTTTGCCCAACTGTCACCTGCCCGTAGCTGCAGAAATGCCCATGTGAAGGGCGCTGGGACCGCCAGAAGAGGCTGTTCTTGCTGCACCCTGCTCTTTCTGCTGTACCTTGTTATGCAGAACAACTGTAACAGCAAAGTGACTGTGAGAATAGTCTGATCCCCTCTGCAAGGAGAGGAAGGTTCCCCCTGCAGCAGAACTTGATTTTAATGAGCACTGTGGCTCAATTAGAGAGGAGCCCCTGGAAGTGCCATGTCGCCTCTTTCTGTGTGGAGTATGGCATTTTTCTTGCCCCTCTGGCCTCTGCCCTAACTGTGAAAATAAGTTATAGCCACCCTTTCTGGTCACAGAGAATTAAAGCTTCCATCTGCTGTGACAAGTGGTGTGACATCTATTTTATGTGTAAACCTATGGATGAAAGAATTTCCAAGCCCTAGATAAACTGAAATTCAACCTTACCCAGAGATCACAGCTTTCATACTTAAAATCTAGAGACATTTTTAGTAAAATAGAATACCTGTGTATTCTTAGTCTGAACAAACACTTACTTATTCCTTCATCATTTTCCTTACTTCCGCTCTTCCCGTGTTTTAAAACTGGCAAGTGGCTTTAGTGGCTGGAACACTTAGCAGACACTCAAGCTGCCCCCCAGGTTTTCCAGGCAACCTCAATGAAGTGCAAATTCACAGCTTCCTCTCACTAAAATGAGAACAAATCCTATCACCGTGCTGTAAATCTCAGTGACTTCCCTGGAAAGGTCGTGCTGTGAAATCAGAAAAGCTTCCCAGGCACAAACATCTTGCTGTGTGTGCTGCCGTGACACGAGGTGCTTCTCCAGAGAGAGAGCAATCTCCCTCTGACCCCTCTGAGGGCCTTTGGGGTCCCACCACATGTGTCCGGAGTACACAACTGCCTGCAAGGTCACGGGTCTAGTGTTCACCCCGCAGCCATGGCACGGGGCGGAGGTTGGAGGAATAGCTCACTCTTATTGTTGTTGGCTGTGCGTTGCAGCTCTCTGAGACTACAGCTGAGTCCCACCTGATGGAGAAGGAGCTGGAGGAACTGAAGAACCACAGCCGGAGGAGGAAGTGAGGAAGAAGAGGTGGCTGGAGGATGGGGGAGCGAGGAGGCTGGCTCTGAGTCTCGGCTGCCCCTGCATGTGGGACACTGGGGCTGGCTTGGGCCTCTGAGCCGGGTTGGTACTGTGTGTAGGTACTTTGTTCCAGGGCGTCATGCGTATCAAGATGCCTCCAGTACTGTGTGGTGCTGTAGGTACTGCATAACAGCTGGCTCAGCACCCCAACAAGTCATGCTGCAACACTGTTGATTAACACTCCCATTCATTTTTCTCAGAGCACTTTACCTTGCTACCTTTCCTCACTGCAGCCCGGCAGTAGGTACCCTGTTTCCTAAGGCAGCCTGACAACAGGCAGTAGAACAGATCCACCTCCGGATGGGCCCCTCTGCCTGCTGTAAAAAACGCAGGGAGGATACCCCCTCAATCTGTCCCCTCGGGGGAGCCTGCGGGGGCTTGTACAAGCTTCACTGCTTGCCTTTGCTAGCAGGATGCTGGAGTTGTTGTTCTTAAGGGTTCTGCATTCCTTATATAAAAAATATACATTCAAAACCAGACTCTACGGGTGTTTGTTCTGTGAAGGGCCGCGTTGCGAGCTGGGGAGGGGGCCCGGCGGGAGCCGGGAAGGGTGGCCGGCGGCCCTCCCGGCCGCCAGGGGCCGCTGCCTCCCCCTGCTGTGGAAGGCATGCTGAGCTACAGCTCACCCAGGTGGCCGGGCAACAGCTGGCAGAGATTCCTCTCGGCATCTCCATGTGTAGTCACTCTTCCCCACAGAGGGGAGGAAAAAAGCCATTTGTCCATTAATGGAATGTTTGTTGGCCAGCACCTGTCTCGTATACAC